GCTACGGTGTACCTATGCCTAGGCTGGATACTACTTTAGCTGTACAAGAAATAGCCGTCGAGAAGAGAAATCAAAACCCAGATTAAACGAAGTTATTTCGACAATAAATAGAGTATTCAAATAAATAAAGAAGTTTGGAAGGAGGATTTCCCTTAAGCGCTGAAATCTGTTGAATACACAGCAACAACTTCGATATCAGCGCCACTCCGTAGTCAGGGCGCGCCGGAATTGTTTAGGGAGAAACTTCTCTTTTAAATGATTAATCTTTTCAAATTAAATACAGAAACAAAGAAGGGAAATTCCAAATTCCTTCTCTACAGGCAATAGAAGAAGGAATACCCTAAAGGCGTTCATGAAGATCGCGGAGGGGGGCCCCAGACAGCTTCTTCGATCTTCACTCTTTTGCAGCGATAATGGCAGTATTTATTGTCTATTTTATTGCAATTTAAAACCCCAATTTATTGGGGTTTAAGAGAAAAACAAAAGGAAATAAACAACATTAGATCGCGCTGCAACGATCGCCGTCGTCACACTCTTCTTCACCAGGTGTACGTACACCATGGCCATCCACCCGCGGAAAAAAGAAGAAACTGCGACAATTAGAACTTAAGTTAAAATTCTCCATTAATTAAATATTATTTTTATTCTTCTAACTTTATAAAGATCAGTTTATTTCAATTCATGTTCTACTCCCCCTGGGCCCCCCTTGCTGTTCATCGACTTCCCACCTCTTGCATTTCCCATTTCGTATATTTTTGTTTCATTACTTCTCTCTTTAAAATAAACAAAAAGTAACGCCTCAAAATAAGCTGTGCTTTGTGCTACAAAAACCCGATACCCCGGACGTTCGTTGACAGCACCCCCCATACATATATATACATATGTATACATATAATCTGTACAAAAAAATTGTCATTTAGGCGAAATAACCCATCTACTAAAGAAAGAAGAAAATAGTTCCTCTTTCCGCCCTCGTCAGTGTGTTAGCCGTTATTGCTGTCTATCTGTACTTGTTTGTTAATTCGTTTCTTTGTTTTTCTATTGGCTTTTATCCTATTATTATGCCTTTGTACAGCCCCTCGTTTTTTGTTTGCCTGCTGTCTTCCCGTTTTTCGTTGTGCGTTTCTTGTCTGTCCATTTATTTATCTCTGTCTTTTGTCTACTTTCTTTGTTGATTATTTATTTCTCTCTTCTCCGTCTGTCTGCCTGCTTGCTTGTTTTCTATTTGTCTGTCGCTTGTTAGTCTATGTAGGCTGGGTTATGTATGTATCTGTTTTTAGTATTCCTCCTTATTCTCTTAGGCACTGAATACATATATATATATATATATATATATATATACATGTATTTATTATTTAATCTTTATTCTCTTAACCATCAAACGCATTTATTTAAGTATACCTATTCTATTAACTTAATTCATCCACTCACACATTCACCCTCCGCCCCACTCATCTATTAATAAATTAGTGAAACATAATTAAATATAATTAAAGATAATTAATTAAATATAATTGAATATGATTAATTAAATACAATTAAATATAATTAATTGTAATTAATTAAATATAATTAAATATAATTAATTAAATATAATTAAATATAAATAAATTAAATTGTTAGGACCTCGTAACACCGTACAGCCACAGTGAGGCTGTCTGGCTGACATAGCCCCGTTTATACGCGCCAGTAGTTAATAAAATCAAATTCTTCTTTTAATGCAAAACGCACGAAAAGAAGAAATAGAGAGACGCTCACGAAATCTATATCAAATTCATTGTGAGAGTCCTCTAACTGGCGTAGAATTAATTAATTAATTCTTTATTTTATCATTTTAATAATTTACTATTTTATAAGTAATTCCGCTCAATTAAATAGGGCTCTTAAACGAGAATAAATAAACATGCATCTGCATCTGGAATATATTCACACATTCAAACCAGCAAAATAAATAAACGAATGAGCAAACAAATAAACAACTAAATAAATAAAATAAATAGATAGCTGTACGCTCGCACTTAACCAAATGACTGGGTATTAAGCCAAATGGGGCTGGGCGGCGAATTTGCATAAAAATGCAAAAAAAAAATTCTTTTTTATTGCCTCGCAGCAATTTTATCGGGACGTCAGCTGTACGTACACCAGACGACGCGCTCCATGAGGCTAAGATACAATTAAATAATAATAAATATAAATAAACATATTAATTAATTCATCAAATAAATTACATCATCAGACTTCCATGCATGCATGCGTATTTAAAAACCGATATTTAAATTATGTTATCATTTGCAGTTTTTAAACGAACATTAAAACCCATTTAATTAATTTAAATTGTTTAAATTGTTTATATCATTTATTTATTTATTTAAACTATTTAATCTACTTAAATTATTTGCACTCTCATATTCACATTATTTAAATATTCATATTATTATTTATACAACTTGCACAAACTAAACAAATAAAATGATAGGGGGTGTATATGCATAAAAAGGATATAAAGAATAAAAAGAAACGAGCTGATTGTGTAAACGCAAGAAAAAGATATAAACACTTAAAAGAAGAATGCTCTCTTTTTTGTGTTTGTTTGTCTCTGCGGGTTATATAAGAAGAGAGAGAAGCACACAGAGAAATAATAAATTGGGTTATAAAAACCTAATCCGCGTAGAAAAGATATTTGCTGCAGGTGTACATACAGCAGAAACATGCATAAATGCTGAACAACACAAAGAAGCCTCCGCTGTCAGCTGTACATACACTGCGCCTCTATACCAGCTATCTAGACACCCCAACCCCCTCCCTATCCTTTCCTGCATCCTGTACTGCCTAGCTAGCTAGCTAGCTATCTAGCTAGCCAGCTAGCTAGCTGGCTGTACAGCTGAGTACAGGTGCATGCATGAGCACGAGCGAAAGCATCTCCTTTCGTTCGTCCCCCTGTTTGTTTTTCTTCTGCTTTGCATGCATAACAATATATATTTATTGTGTATTTATTTATTGCTGTTGATTTGTTTGCTTTTTCTTTCAATTATAACTGAGCGGTCCACCGAACTTAACCCTGAAAGGATCTCTTGTATCATTATTATTATTATTATTTCTATATTCATTTCTATCGCCGCTTCTTCCTTCAGCATTTCTACTCGAATAATCTGCTCTATTACTGCGATAAGCACCGCCACCTGAGGACCTATTATATCCACTGCCTAGCCTCCCTCCTGTTCGTCCTCTGATGTTTGAAGGGTTCAGCATATTATTTGAACGCCCTCTAAAACTCAACCTGCTTCTGCTTAACCCTGTATTTTCTTCTCTTTCTCGCACTCCCCACCCCGCTCGTTCGCCTTCACGAAGGAACCGACGCTCGTGAGTTAATGCAAACCTGAACACAAATATTGTTCATCAAATATATTATAAATAAATCTATGCAAATATATATATATATATATATTTATATATATATGCATATGCGTTATGTATATTTCTATACAAGCATATATATACGAGCACATAAATAATATATATATATATATATATGCATTTACACATATATTTACATTAGAAAAGCCTATACATACATATATATATATACATATGTATATATATATATATATATATATTATATCTTAGTTAGGGTTTCTCATACTGAGTGTGAATTCATTCATATACATATGCACATAATACATACATACATACACAGTAAATATAAACACATAAACATATAAACATATAAACATATAAACATATAAACATATGAATATATATATATATATATAGATAAATATAAATATATATATATATATATATATAAAGCTTACTTAGGGTTTCTCATATTGAGTGTGAGTTCGTTTTGCTCAACAGCAGTAGCGACGTTTTCTGCGAGAGTTAAGGCCAGCTGTTGCAGTCGCGTATGTTTAATGCGACTCAGCAAAATGTACTGACTCGTTTCATCCCAACTCGCGTGGATTTCTTCGTTCACCATCATCTGCACCAAAGCAAATTAATAAATATATATATTTATGTATGTATATATGTATGTATGTATATATGTATGTATGTATATATGTATGTATGTATATATGTATGTATGTATATGTGTGTGTGTATTTGTGTGTGTGTGTGTGTGTGTATATTATGTGTGTGTATATAGATATATGTTTATACATACTCTTATGTATATATATGCATATATTTATCTATATATATATATATTTTCATTTATCAAAACAAATACGATATATAGAATGCATGTAGGTGTGCAAGGGTATATTGCTAGGTGGTTAGAGTAGCTATCAGCATTTAATTTTTGTGTTATGTTTGTTTATTTATTTCTATTTGTTTATTTGCTTGTTTATTTACCTTGCTGACGATGGAGTGAACAGCGTTTAAAGATAAATCAAACATGCTCGCCAGCTGGTTGATTGCAAAAGAGTCGTAGAGAGGCAAATACTGATACACAAACACAAAACCCCAAACCCTAAACCCTAAACCCTAAACCCTAAACCCTAAACCCCAACAAGCAGATCCCACCCGTTAACCCTAAAGCCCTACGCCGTAAACCCTCGTTGCTAAACAGAGCTTATCGCGTATATATATATATATATATATATATATATATATGTATAAACAGATGTATATATATTATATCAATGCAGATTGATATGTTGCTGACCGTGAAGATATAAGTGCGCATAGCTTCAGCTTTGATTTTTTGGAGTAGCATTTCTTGAATATGTTCTTTATTATGCATCTTCTCCCAGATAGTGAGCGTCCAAAGAAGACGCGAGCACTCTCTCCAGTCGCCGCGTTGTAATGCTTTTGTTGCAGCCATTACTGTTTCTCTCGGGTTCTCTGGGGGTCCTACGAATGTTTGTCGATCGTACAACTCTAACATTCTGCGAAAATGTTTGCTTAAATGCCTCTTCCTAGGATCTAATGAATCCTGCGCCATATGCGGTACTTCTAATAACATTGCGCAGCTGAAAACACACACAAATATATATATA